TGACAGTGCCAAGCAATGTGACGTGACTTGCCTAAGGTCACCCAGCTAGGGAGGGGCAGGGTCTGGAGTAGAGACCCAGGAGAGGAAGCTGGAAGGATGTGCAGTTAGGACTGGTCTAGGAATTTGTCTGTGTGACCCTGGGGGAGTCATCTGATGTCTCTGAGCGAGACCACAGAGACCTGCTAAGAGTCACCTGGGTCCTGACTGGTCCCCCTTTCCGCCTGCACAGCCCCAGGTCTGACAGTTCCCATCAGCCGACCCCCAAATGAGGCAGCAGGAGGGAAGAAATCAGCCTGCGAAAAAAGAAAAACGAGCGACGGAAGAAAGCAGCAGGCTTCCAGGCCTGAGGGGACCGGCGAACCAGGGCAACCCCCGGGCAAGCAGAGGCAGAGCACGCCTGGGCGCTGGCTGCCGCCCACCCCCGGGCCCCACGCCCTTTCACCACATCCCACGAGGGCTCCACGGATGCCTGGGAATTCCTGCAGGGTCCTGCCCAGGGTGGGGCCCATCCCTCAGTGGAGACCCCATCTCTTGCTCCTCCGGGGCTGCCCCGGCCCCGCGCCGGTGGTCTGAGCTCTCCCTCCTGCAGCAGGGGACACCAACAGCGCCCGAAGCAGGTGGCGGTGGGAGGGCAGCGGAGGCGGCTACGGGTGACTCCAACGCGTCCAAAATCGTCTGTGCAGCAGGAAGTCAAGCGTGAAATTAACTTTCACTCTGCAGCCCCAGCATGCAGACACAGAGAAATTAAAGTGACGGGGCAAGGTCTCAGGGGAGGGAACGACCTCCCACCTTGAAGCAATGACAGCAGCAGCGGCGAGGAGGCCGTAAGCATGGGGGAGGCTGCTCCGGGGGAAGCTGGGCACCCCACCTGACCCCGGCTGGATCATCTCATTGTCCCATGGCGGCAGTCACTTATCACAGTGTATTTATTCTTAACAGCCTCCCCTACTAGAATGTCAGGCCTCATTCACTGCTATGTCCTGGAGGCCCAGAACAGTGCCTGGCGTGTAGCAGATGCTCAGTAAATATTGGTTGAATGAATGAATGAATGAATGAATGAATGAATGAATGAATGAGTCTGGGTCTCTGTAGATAAAAGAAAGAAGAACCAAAAACCCAGTATGTGCTCTACACGCTGAGCACTGACCTCAGTGAGCACGTATGAAACTGAGCCCTAGGGCAAGTGACTTCCCACAGGGACACACAGCCAGTCAGCCAGCCAGGACGCGCTGCGGTCCCGCTTGAGGCCCCTGTGTTCAGCCATGTGGTGAGACGGGGCCTGCACAGGGCCTCCCTTCCCATGTCCGCACTGGACACGAGACAGTTGCTGCAGTCTAGCAGGAGCAGAGTCACAAAACATCAGAGCTTGCAAGGAGTGCAGGGTGCAGAGGCTGCTGAGGGCAGCTTCCTGGGCACTGCAGATTTCCTGAACATTATGCTCTCTCAGCTTGCATACCTTTCAGTGACAGGGTGCTCACTACCTACCTCAGCAGCTCCTGCAGGGGCCTTCCCATGGTACTCTCACCCCTACCCCCAGGTCCTTTCTCCGTGCGGCCACCAAAGCAAATTTTTAAAACAAAAATCTGATCACATTGCTTCCTGGGATAAACTTCATCACTGAATTCCCTTCCAACAGATAATAAAGCCGGAACTCCTTACCAGCCCTCCGTGACCTGGCCTGTGCCCTCCTCTCCCTCGCCTCCCTCCTCGGGCCATGGCAGCCTTCTCTGTGACCCCTGCCAGCTCAAGGAGGCCTTTGCACCTCCTATTCTACCCGTCTGGGACACTCCCCGGAGGTCCACACAGCCGGCTGCTGCTCAGCCTCCAAGGGTCCCCTCAACTGTCACTGCCTGCCCTGACCTCCCTGGCTAATATCACCCCCTCATTTTCTCTCCCATCACCCCACTTACCAGAGTAATAGAATTTTTAAAAAATGAATGGACTGCACAATGAAAGTTAATCATAACCGCATTGAAATCTAAAATGTAGAAGGGATGATAATTTTAGTAGAAAATATCCAAGAAACTAAAATTCTAAAGACAAATCAGTTCCAATAATTTACACACAAAGGTTGTTCTCACAGAACTCGACTACTTACAGTGTAGGAAACCTTAATTATTCATCTCTTTGTTTTATATTATATTATATATATATTTTTTTGAGACAGAGTCTTGTTCTGTTGCCCAGGCTAGAATGCAGAGGCATGATCTTGGCTCACTGCAACCTCCATCTTCCAGGTTCAAGCAATTCTCCTGCCTCAGCCTCCCAAGTAGCTGGGACTACAGGCACACGCCACCACAGCTGGCTAATTTTTGTATTTTTGGTAGAGATGGGGTTTCACCATGTTAGCCAGGGTGGTCTCGAACTCCTGACCTCAAGTTATCTGCCCGCCTCGGCCTTCCAAAGTGCGGGGATTACAGGCATGAGCCACCACACCCAGCACATCTATTTGTTTTAATTCTAAACATGTTTGTTTGTGATTTAGATTTGCAACAAATTCAGTGAGGTGGCTACCTAGTTAGTCAAAATGTACTTTAATAGACCACAGCCATTCTCTGACAAAGATTATGGGATGTCAAATACAGCACTGGCTTTAATATGCTTGCAGTTTATTCTACTTAGACAAAGATGAAGCAACATCTATTTGCTGGTGTTATCTATATGAGTATCTCGCTCCTCTTCTGTTTAGATTCTACAGCTGTCTTTATTACCTGAAATCATCCATATTATTCAGCTTAAAATATCGCTCACTTTAAGTGAAAAAACCTATGTAAAATAGTCAGTATAACAATATGGCTATCAAAAAATATTATGTTAAGAAGAAAAAATCATAACTAGGTATATGAAGGCATAAAGAGCTTAAGATAGTTATGTGAGCATAGTACAGTTATGTGAGCATAGTACTTTAGATTTGCTGGTATTTTCTTTTTCTTTTCTTTTTTTTTTTTTTAAGAAACAGGGTTTTGCTCTGTTGCCCAGGCTGGAGTACGGTGGTGCAATCACGGCTCACTGCAGCCTTGAACTCCTGGGCTCAGGCGATTCTCCCACCTCAGCCTCCTGAGTATCTGGGACCACAGGCACGTGCCACCACACCCAGCTAATTTCTTTTCAATTTTGCTATATTTGGCCAGGCTGGTCTCGAACTCCTGGCCCCAGGCAATCCTCCCACCTCAGCCTCCCAAAGCGCTGGGATTATAGGCATGAGCCACTGCACCCAGCTGGATTAGCTGACATTCTCTTGTTTTGTTTACTTAACTCATTCTGGTTCTGTCTCCACTGCCAGACAAATCTTGATAAGGGGTGAGGCCTTTGTTTTATCCAAGGCTGAGTGGCCAAGGCCTAGAACAGGACCTGACACACAGCAGGCTCTCAGTAAGATGGGATGAATGAATGAGGGAATGCCCCAAACAGCCCGGACTCAGCTGAGAACACCCCACCCTCATCCCCTAACCCACCTGTGATGAGGTCCCAAGAACATCCCCCTTGCTTCCAGCACCCCTCCATCTGTGGCTTCCCACCCCAGACAGGGGCCCCAGAACAAGGGAAGTCCCAGGAAGCTGCAGAAGGGGCAGGCATAGCCCGGGCAATGAACGAGCCCGCCAGGCGGATGAGGAGCCCAGGCTGCATCTGACATGGGCATTCCATACCAGCCCAGGACCCCTGGCGCAGGACACATGCCCCTTCCTGACACTCTGCAGCCCTTGTTGGCCACTAGCTGCGGATGACCCCCCACCAGCCACGCTGGTGAAGTATCTTTGTCAGGTGCTCCTGAATCCCAGAAGGCCAAGGGCCTCAACTAGCAAGGAGAGATTTTCTAGGCTGCTGCAACAATGATGCTGCAAGAGGGCGGCCAAGTTGATCACCTGAGGTTGGACCAGTCCTGCAACTCTGGAAACTACAACAGCAACGATCTCCCTGTCAACTAGTCCAGCACCAGCAGATGCGTGAAAACACTAGGAGGTTTGCATGCTTTCAGGAACGGGGAGCTCACCACCGCATATACACTCTGTAGTTCCATCCCAGGAACGCTTGAACAATCGGACCAGGCTGAACTACCCACTGAATCAGCTAAATGCCTCCCTTTGCAGCCACACTCAAATGCGTGTACCCTCTAACCATGACAAACCTCGAACATTCAGCAGCTATGATCCTGAAGAGTCTCGCCTCCAACCTGCCAGCACATGTTCCTCAAGGGGCAAGATCTGCAGCCCCTTTTACCTTTTGGGTTCCTGGGCACGCACATGAGATAACATGCCCTCCTCAGCCCAGCAATCTATGCTCCTGTTAATGCATCCCAAGAAAAACCCAGCCTCCTTCCAGCTGCCACACCTTCAACGCCTTGTACCTCGCTTGAAGATACAATGCTACCAGCCTCCAGCACTGCCCCACCCAGCGGCATGTGGCACTTAATTGACATTTTCTTCTCTCCCAGCCTCGGTCTGGGAAAAGGCCCCCATCATTAGAATACATCACATTGGCCACCTCCAAAGCCTCGGGGCCTGGATGAGTGCTCTGATCTGCCCCATAGTGGGCTGTGCCAGAGGGGCCTCGCTGTGCAGACGCCAGGTGACTCCCAAACATGCTTATGCCAGAGCCCAAAACACCAGGCCCCGCCTGCACTGAGGCCACTCCCCATCTCCCTGAGCCGGCTGCCCTCTGCCCCCAACAGCTCCCTCCTGCTCGAACAGGATGCACATGTACACAGACTGGGACCTCTGACCTCCGTCTCTCCAGACCCACCTGTACACCAGCAGCTCCCTCGCCCACCCTCCCAAATCCAGGCCTGTCTCCCAAAACCTCAGGGGGACACTCTCTCTGCTCCCCGTCCCCACCCCAGGTGCCACCTAGGACTGTCTCCTGTCCCCTCCAGGAGCACCTGGCCCTGGCCGGGAGCCCCTGATGGGAACAGAGAGCCCACGTCCCACATCCCATGCAGGCCGCTGAGAGCCTGTTTGCCCACCCCGCCCCCGTGGTCTGCACGGCTACCCACAAGCACTCACATTTTGATGTTCTCATGATACTGCCGGGTGTCGGAGGGCTGGTTGTACAATGGCTGCAAAGGGAGAGAGAGAAGCGCGTCAGAGCCCGACTGGCCACTGGCCACTGCAGAGCCCACCGGCAGGAGCCCCAGGCCTGGCACAGAGGAGCTGTCCTCTGGGTGAGGGCTCAGCCATGGGCAGGCATGAAACGGAACACAGGGACCCAGCACGCAGCCCCAGCCAGGAACAGGCTGAAACTGGTTCCTCCGGGACAGCTGTGGGTACGGTGACCGCCCCCACCAAGGTCGTCATAGCTGCTCTGCGGGGCATTCAGCAGTGCTGGCCTAAAAGGGGCCACAGCCCAGAGCACACCAGGACAAACCCACACACACCCCAGAGGTTGGCCCTGGCCACCAAACATGGAAAGCCGCTTGGTTTCCCAGCTCACCATGGAAATGTGAGTCCCAGCGCTGCAAGATACCACTCCACCCCCACTGACGAGCAAAGACAAAAACGTTGAATAATGCCAAGTGTTGGTGAGGTCTGCGGTGACAGGAAGCCTGGCACATAGCTGGTGGGAGCATGGTGTATGGGCACACGTCCCCCAGAGAGAGAGACAGTAGCCACTGCCTGGTGACGAACACTGACGTCCCCGCCTCCGACCCCCGTGCTCCTGCAGATGCCTACTGTGCTCTGCCAGGAGACGGACGCTAGGATGTTGCTACAGCACTGCTCACAGCGGCCCATGAGAAGCAAGCTAGCCGTCCGCCACCAGAAGAGCAGCTAAGGAGATCAGGGATCAGCTACACCACAAATCCCACCCAGCAGTGAGAAAGGGACGCAGGGCCCACAGGTAGCAAGCACAGAGCTTCAAAGAGCGCACGAGGAGACGCAGAAAGCACTGCAGCGTCTGTGATGGGGGCAGGGACCCAGACAGCTGCCACATGTCCCCTCCCAAATGGAAGAACCTTGCTTAGCAACCAAGGGCACAGCCTGGGTTCAAGTCCAGGTTCTGATGCTTTCTAGCTGAGTCTCCATCTGTGCCTCCGTTTCTCCTCATCTATAAAATGGGGTTAAACTCATAGGGTTTTGCGAAGATCAAACGAGACAGTGCATGCTAAGCTCTGAGGCTGGCACCTGCAGGCTGAAGTGCCCAGAGGTGCCAGTCGCATTGTCGCCATCAGGGAGCAGTGACTGTGTTAATGGCACCCACCTTTCACGCCTCCCTGTAACCACCCATGACCTTGCTGTGGCCAGTGGAACCAGTGCACCCTCAGCAAAAGCAGAGGCTTGACGATGAGAGTTCACATTTCTGCTGTTTCTGTCAAGAGAACGAGCCTAGCCTGGCCTGCAGGAAGCGGGCAGAGAGGCAAAGAGCAGAGTGGTGCCACCCAGCCTGGGCTGAGCTACAGCACTGGCCCACCGACTCCCTTGCTGGCCACGGAGGTACAAGAGCTGAGTCCGCACCAGCAGAAATGCTCAGGTGCCTTCCAGACTGGTAAGAAACAGTAAACAGTTGCTGCTTCAAGCCTCTAAATGTGGGCTGCTTTGTTCCCCAGCAGAAGCCATGTAACCGCACTGCATAACCGATACACTCACCCCCACTGTACAGACAGGAAAACTGAGTCCTTAAGAGCTTACAACATTTGCCCACAGCTGGTAAGAGATGAGCCTGAATGACAGCCCATCTCTCAGCTCCAGCACTGGAGGAAGGAGTATGCTCTCCTCTCTGCCTGAGCCTCTGTGTGTGTGTGTGTCTTTCTGTCTGCCTCCCTCTCTTCCTATCCCTCTCCCTCACCTACACACACAGCAGGAGCCTCCCAGGTGGCCATGGGTGACTATGGTGGGAAGATCAGGTACAGAGTATGAGTGATCAGGTGGAACGGGGTAAGGATGGAGACGTGGAGTCCTGCAGCCTCGGGGCAGGGCTGCAGCAACAAAAGGGACACACAAGTCTCTTCCCTGGGGATAGAGCTGAACACACCTCCTGATGACGCCAGCACAGGGGGCCACCCAGATCCCCGCCCACCCATCCCCAGAGAAGGGCCTCTGCAGCTCTGCAGAGCCTCACAGACGGTCTTGGCTGGTGACAATGTCGCCTTTCTCCCTGTAGCCCCAGATCCCCTGCTAGGGAATTCACCACTGGACTCGGGCAATTCCAGGGTCCTGCTCAGCTACTCTCCTGGGGACAGAGATGTCATCCTGCAGCTGACATGAGCCATTTCTCCCCATGCCAGGTCAGGCTCCCCTCCCAAGGTTCTCAGCCCTGAACAGAGGGCAGTTTCCCCACCCCCACCCTGGAGGTTTGAACAAGACGAAGAAGTGAGCAGAGGAACAAGAGAGTCCATGGTCAGACTCACTGCAGAACCTTCCAGTGGAAAGAAGGGGTACGGTGCAGCATCCCTGCAGAGGGTGCGAGTCCTTGTCTCAGGAATGGCAAGGGGCCCTATCAAGATGCCCACGCTGTAACCCAGGGCAACACGTTGGTTCCTTTATGTTCCCCACATGCCAATCAAATGCAGGCCAGGTGCAAGGGGACATCACTTAAAGGTTCGGGTTTTGGAAACAGGCCCCAGTTTAAATGGTGGCCCCTCCCTCACTAGCTGTGAGCTTGGACAAGTGCCCTCAACACTCCGGCCTCAGTTTCCTCATCTGGAACATGAGTGTAGAACAAAGAGGACCTACTTCACGGAAATTTTGGATAGCCCAGAAAATTTCAGACTTGGTGAAATTTAGTGTTTGTCTTGTTTTGGTTTTAAAGATAGCAAACAGCCGAAGGGGGCCAGAAGGGGACTGGAAGCCCACCGCACACGACCCTGGGAGGGAGTGGTGGGCAGAGGGGACAGTGCTTCTGCGGCACAGGGCGGGAGCGGAAACACAGGACAGGCTCCCGGGGGCAGCAGGAGCCCGGTCAGCCTCCAACCCACCGAAGCCACAGGGGAGGGAGGCCACTTCCACTTGGTGGCCGCCTCCTCTGCCCCGTAGATAGGGACACAGCCCCTGCTTCTCAAGGCGGCCATCGGTGAGCGGCCCGCAAGGCGAAGGCCCCGAAGGACTGAGGATACTGCGTGCTGCCGCCTCTAAACAGGGGCTGCCCCCTGGGAGGCACTCACCAGTCACTCCCCGAGGCCACTGAACCCCAGGAGCCCAGGGGAGGCTCTGGGCCCAGAGCTGCTCGAATGCTGTGTGTCGCCATGGCAACAGGCTGAGGACAGCCATCTTGGAAAGCCCAGAAGGGGGTTGGGGGAGGGAGGGACAGTGACATGTCCTGGCAGATGCATTGCTGAGGGGACACAGGGCCCGAGGGGACTCCCCAGCACCCCCCTCACCCTCTGCAGAGGGGGCTGCACAAAGGCCTGGCGGCTCCCCAGCCCAGGCTAGGCGGGGTCCCCACGTGGGGCCATGAGACACCTCCACAGCCACAGGCTGGGGGCATGGCTGGCCCCTGTCCCTCACCCCCAGGCCTTATCCTCCCGGGAGAAATGACCCCTGGGGGGACACATGCCAGTGAGGACATCAAGGCCCAGATGAGTGTGGAGCCTGGGGTGGCACCCAGGAGGCCCCAGGGTCTAGCTCTCTCTTGCTCAGCCTCCGTCTCCTCTAAAATGAGAGGCGCAGCCACTCAGAGGGCAGAAAGAGGGCAAAGGGGAGCAGGTGCCAGACGCAGGGCTTAGGCAAAGATGAGGCACAGTGGTGACTAAGAAAGCCAGCAGGGGCCAGGGAGGAGGCGGCCCCCCTCGGGCTTTGAGCCAGCCAGCAGGGCCACCAGGAAGAGCCACAGTCCCAGGCGGCCTGAGCTGGCAATAAATGAAGCGTCAGCCCCAGCCCTCAACCCGCTGGTGACACCAGCTTCTTAAAATAACGCCTTGGAACAGGAAGGAAGCAATGACTCAAAGCGGCAGAGAGGCAGAGAGGTCGGGGCTGCCGGGCGCGCCCTCCACCACCGCGCCTGCTCCCAGCCTGGCCCAGGCCCCACAGCTGGGCGGGAGGGGCCGTGCCCCACCATCTCAGAGCCCTAGACCCCTAGTTAGCACCTCTGCTGCTATTTTCATCCTTTCCAATGCAAATTCCTCCAGGGGGGCCACAGGGATCCGTCCCTGCCGAGGGGAGGGGCGTTGGAACTGCAGCTTCTGATGGAAGACACCCTGGGAACTAGACTCTGTGACCACAGCCCCTGGGTCCTCAGGCCGTCCCTGGTCCGGGCTTCTGACACCTAGGTGGTAGACAGGCCCCTGCAGAGGGTGTACCACGGAGCTGCCTCTGCTTGGAGGATGCCTGTGGCCACTCAGGCCTGGCAGATCTGTGCAGAACTGGCCAGCCGCTCCCCCCGGGGCTCAGCACACCTCCCCACCTCATCTCTTGCTGTGTGGCCCGGCGCAAGGCACTCCCCTCGCTGAGCCTCATCCAGAAAATGGGATGGCAACAGCTCTGCGAGGCGCCCTCCCTTTCTCCACTGACTGGCACCAAGCCAGGGGCCTTCAAGAGTCTAGACACTAGACCTTGGCCTCCTGTGCCATCAGCCCTTTGGAAGCCTCTGCTCTGAGATCCCCAAGCGGGAGACAACCCCATCCCCTTGTCTCCAAAGAACCAGAGAAGACTCACTGTGGGGCCCCTGGTTCCAAAGCTTCTGACACCAGCAGCTGCCCACCCCCATCCGCCCACAGACTCCCACGGACAGGGGCTTCCTCGCCTGTGTTCCTCAGGCCCTAAGACATGGCGGCCTCCAGGCCCTTTCCCCTAGGAAGCCCCCAGGGACCAATCAGGAAAGGGGAGCGGGAGGACCTGGAAGTCTGGAAATGGTTGGGAACTTCATCCAACCCTGCCATCCCCATTTGGCAAAAAAGGAGAAACCGAGGCAAGAGGCAGCTTACTGGTGGGGATGTAAAATGGTGCGGCCACTTTGGAAAACAGTTGGGCAGTTCCTCAAGGGGCTAAACATAGGGTTAACAGAGGATCTAGCAATTCCACGCCTAGGTACACACCCAGGAGAAATGAAGACGTACGTTCACATGGAAACGGCACACTAATGTTCACAGCAACTTTATTCACAATACCCCAAATATGCAAACAATCTCATGTCCACCAACTGATGAGTGGGTAAACAACACGTGACCTGCCCCTACAGTGAAAACATGATTCAGCCACAAAAAGGAATGAAGGACCAACCCACGCTCAACACGGATGAACCTCGAAAACATGATGCTGAGGGAGAGAAACCAGACACAAAGGACCACATATTGCAAGATTCCATTTATAGGAAATGTCCAGAATAGGCAAATCCATAGAGACAGAAGGGTTTCTTTTTGAGATGATGGAATGTTCTAAAATTGACCGTGGTGACAGTTGCACACATCTGTGAATACACTAAAACCCACTGAATTGTATGCTTTAAATGGGTGAATGGCACGCGTGCGAACTGTACTTCAATAAAGCTGTTTACAAAACAGAAAAACAAGCAAGCAGCAGCTGCTGGAAACTTCCCCGGAAATCACTTCCACGGTGAGAAGCAGGACCCCAGGCCAGAGCTCGTCACCAGGTCGCCCAGGCCCAAGGATGCACCTGGAGGGGGCAGAGCCCGGAGGGGATGGGGGAGCCCGGCGAGGTTTCTGAGTCCAGCCAGGTGGGTGGCTGGGCCCTGCTTCTGAGCTGGAGGAGCCCTTGCCATCTCCTCCCTGCTTCTGCCTTCTGAGCGGGCCTGGGAGCCTGGGGCTTGCAGTTCCTGAGTGGCCTCAACAGACAGACCCCAGGCTTCGGGGAGCTCTCACTGTGCAAAACCGAGCAGCCTGCAGAAACTTCACGCGGAGGAGCTCATCACCAAATTGTTCACAACTACTGAGCGCTTCGTAGGGGCCAGGAGCGGCACTAGGTGAGCCTTTAACGGGCGTCACTGCCTTTAACCCTGGGAAGACCCTGGAAGGAGGCCCCAGAGTGTCTGCCTGTCCGCGATGAGAGAGCACCGTGGTGCTGGGAGGTCAGCCCCTTTCCTAAGGCCACCTGGCGAACACGCAGTGGAGCTGAGTTTAGATGGAAGCTCGGAAGGTGTCAGATTTGTTTCGTTTATGAGGCAGGGTCTCACTCGACTGCCCAGGCTAGAGTGCAGTGGTGTGATCATAGCTCACTGTAGCCTTGAACTCCTGGGCTCAAGCCATCCTCCTGCCTCAGCCTCCCAAGTAGCTGGGACGACAGGCGTGCATCACCACACCTGGTGAATTTTTTAATTTTTTGCAGAGACAAGATCTTGCTATTTTGCCCAGGCTGATCTCAAATTCCTGGCTTCATGCAATCCTCCTGCCTTGGCCTCCCATAGTGCTGGGATTACAGGTGTGAGCCACCACACATGGCCGAAAGCGTAAGACTTTACCTGCACCCTGGGCGCACTCACACACACACCCTAGCCCACCATGCACACAGACTCTCCCTCATCTGGCACACATGTGGGTAGCAGTATGCCTTCAGTGCCCACCACGGCCATCCATGCTGACCAGCTCAATGCGCACACACGGCTGTGGGGCAGGCAGGGGCTGTGGCCCGTTCTCTGGGAGCTAGGGCTTCTGCATCCACCCATCCTCAGCCCAGGGACTCCAGGAGGCTTGGGGCTTGCTTTCCAGCTCTGCTGCTGACATGGCGTCTTTCCACAGCAAAAGGACACTAGTGACAGCCATCATCACCATCATCATCATCATCATCATCATCATAGCTAATGCCGAACACTTACTGTCTGCAAGGCAGGCGCCACACCTGATGTTGGACAAACATTAACACAGCTCCTCCTCACTGTAACCCAGTGGAATAGGTGCTGTTAGGATTCCCATTTTACAGATGAGGAAGCTGAAGCACGGAGAGTGTAACAAACCCGCTCAAGGTCACACCACCATGAAGCAGCGCACCTGGGAGTGGACCGAGATCGCGTGACCCAGAGAACCGGCTCTCCGCACTCAGCTGGAGCAAACGCGCTGGTCTACAGGTGTGTGACTCTCCTCACAGCCCGAGTGGCCGGGCTTCACGGTGTGCACAGGAGTGCGCAGGTGGCCCCACAGGCACTTGCTGCCAAGACTCCCCACCCCCACTCAGCCCAGCCAGGCCCGCCCACCCGCTATCTGCCATCCTCTCATCAGGAAGGTGGGTTTCCTGCCTCCTCCGCGGACGCCGCCTGGGCAGCGCTTGGCAATAGATGACTTCCTCCTCCACCGCATCCTCCCGCCTCCCTGCCCACCTCTCCAGCCACCCCCGCCCTCCCCGGAGCCCCCGACCCTGTACCCCAGCTCACCAGCTCCACCTGGGGTCCCAGGCCTTCCAGAATCCGATGTGCAGCTTCGGCCTTCTTCTGCAGGGTGATGGCGAAGAGGAGGAATTTTTTAAAAAAACAAAAAAACACAGATTATAAATAGAGGCTTCCCGGAGCAGCGGGCACCTGCCCAGCCCAGTCCAGCATGCTGATCCTCAGTACGGGGGAGGGAGGCCTGGGGCCCTCTCCAGGCCCTCCCCTGGCTGGAAAAAAACACAGAGGGGCCTCAATACCCCCACAGCGGCCCCAGCAAGCCCGCCAAGTTTCGATTTTAGCAAATGCGCCAGGTCCACTGAAGCCTGTTCCCCGGCAGGCGCGCAGGCCTCGCTCCCCCAGGGCCCGGCGATGTGGGCACCGCTCCCCGCCAGCCCAGCCGACACTGCCAGCCCTGAGATGCCTTCCCTCGCCCTGGAAGCTGGTTGGGTTGTCTACAATTACCTCAGAGCTAGTGCAGCCAGCGAGGGAAGGAGGAGGAGGAGGAGGAGGAGGAGGGAGGGTGAGATAGAGGCGCTCAGAGATACCCTTTCTAGGATTCTTGTGTTTCACAATCATGTGATTATTTCTGGGCTGCCCTGGGGCCTCCCCGCCTCCTCCCCACTCACAAGTGGCGACTTATTAGGAAAACAGGAACATGTGGTGCAGGGCTCGGTGGCCGCTCCGTCAATAGGCTGGACCTCCGGGCCCCCACCCCGGCCCTCGGCGTGAAGGCAGACGTTGTGCCTCGGCCAGGCCCGCCAGCCCCTAGCCTGGGACCACCAGGGTCCGCTCAGAGGAGGCCTGGAGGATGGCCCAGGCCAGCCAGGTACAGGGAGGTGGGGGGTGGAGGGGCTCCTGAAGGTAGCTTCCTGGGGCTTGTGACGGAGGGCAGGGGCAGAATTTGGGTGGGTTTGGGCGCCCCCTGCACAAGGCTAAACTGCGTGTGTGCTGGCAAATGGGTGTTCACGGGCTGGCACGTGGGCGAGCCCCTGCTGTGACTCAGCTGCACTGGGGCAGCCACCCAGTATTTGGCAATGACTAGGCGGACAGGCCCCAGAAGTCACCATCACCATACTGAAACTGTCCCCAGTGACCCCAAACCCAGATTGGCCAAAAGTAGGTGACCCCGAGTCCCGGGAAATGTGGCTGCCAACAAAAACTTGACGCAGCCTTTGCCAAGATCTCCTCGCTGGGCGGAGGGGCCCAGGCTCCCCAGCTGCAGCAAAGAGGGGAGGGCACGGCGGGTCAGCATCACTCCCACTCCCCAGCCCTCGGAGAAAGACCTATGTAGGTGGGCTCAAGCAGGAACCTAGAGCTGCCTCTGCCTACAGCCCAGGGCCTGGACCACCAAGAGCAGAGCTATGCTCTCGGCCACCTTCACGCTGAGCCGAAACCCCGAGACCTGCAGCCTCAAGGTGCGGCTGGGGGCTGGAACAGCAGGGGAGAACTATTACAGCAGTGATCAGTTCCCCAAGCACCTGCATGAGCCGACCGTCGGGCACACGCTGTGTTTTTAACATTTCAATCACGCATAAGCACCACGGGAGGCACACGCAGGAGTAGCCCCATTTCACAGATGGTGAAACTGAGGCACAGAAACAAAACACAGGGAAGAAGCCCTTCTTACGACCTCCGGGATCCACGGACAGAGGAAGTCAAGGGCCAGGTCCCACGCAGGGCCACCCCTCGGCTTGGGACTAGTATTTCCGGTGGATGGGGGGAGACATCACCCTGAGAGTCACTGTCCCAGCCACACCCTCGAAGCAGGAAAGAGTCTGCCCTGGGGTACTGAGGATGGGAGAACCCCTGAGCCAGGCCCAGGGAAGGACTGGGTATAGGGTGGCACGGGGGCAGGGCAGCTTCCAAACGCTGGGACCGGTGGAGAGACAGGGAATGAATGAGACCTGGCGCCTGCCTGGAATAAACCCAAACAACAGCTGTTGGTTAAGAGCAGTGACAGCAGATTAGTATGCTCAGGCGGAGAAAGGTATGTATGAAAGTGTCTTGACTCAGCCTCCCCTCCCCAGAGAGGCCTTCCCTGAACCCCCACAGCAGGGTGGCCCACCTCCCTCGACCACTGTGTTTTCCCCACCTGGCTGTCTTCACAGCACATGCGGTCAGGGGTAAGGGTCTGCAGCCCACTGTTTATCCTACTGGCCATGTCCCCCTGATGAGGACTCTATGAGGAGCAAGGCACCTGCTCTGTTCTCTGCTGCACCCACAGTGCCTGGAACAGCGTCTGGCTCAGGGTGGATGCTCAGGAATGGTCTAAATACCTGGAAATGGGGTCGGCTGGCTCCCTTGCTCAGGCTGGCTCCCTCACTCAGGCTGTCTCTGGGGCAAAGCATTCTTGTACCCACAGGCTCTCTGGTCCCAGCCCAGAACCCTGTCCTCTTTCCACGTTGCTGCAGCTGGCCCAGTGCCTCCCCGCCTCTCCACCAGGACCAGAAGAGGCCAGCGCCAGCCACCGAGCTGCTGTCGTCCAGCAGGGCTCAGCACAGGATTGAGGGCAGCAGGCACTTTCTCCAGGGCCATGGGGGAAGCAGTCCACATCCCGGACACGCCTGGCCTTTCCAAGGACACAGAGGCCTCTCTGCCTCCTCCACAGAGGTGGCCGAGACGGCAGGCCCTGTCTCCCTGCTCTCCAAGCCACAACCAGGATTGCCAAGCCTCCCAGTAACCTGTTTCTGGGTGCAAGGGCTGCCCCATTTTACAGATGGGGAAACTGAGGCTCAGAGAGGACACTTGGATAGGAGGTCACCAATCCACACAGTTCTAGGCAAAATCCCAAACCCTTCCCACCTGAACCTCTCCCACCTAGAACATTCCCCAACCCCAATATTCCCATGGCTCATATCTGTACCTCTCCTTGGCCCCCTTGGGGGCCACCTCCTGACACTGGCTCCCTGGCTGCCCTTGGTCCTGGCAAACAGCAGCTGCTCCAACAGGAGCTCCTGTCCGCATCTTCCCCATGCAGCTTGCAGGGGACACCAGGACACACTTGGTAGAGCTGAACCAACTCCACCCAAGGGTGGCAAAACTCAGGGACCGCTCCGGCCCAGAGGAGGGCTTCATGCTAGGCTGACACCTGCCAGTGGGAAGCTGGAATTCAGGGGACTCAGCCCCACCCTGGGGGAGAAGGGAAACAGGCCTTTCTCAATCCCACTGAAACCCGACTGCCCCCACGCATGTCCTCCCATGTTCCTGGCCTTGCGGGGGCCGAGTTCTCTGCTCTGATGGTGGCAGGTGGGGCTGATGCTGCAGGGGAGGTGGCCAAGCCTGAGAGAAGCCACTGCCCAAGCTCACCTGGCTCAGAGAGGAGGAGAACCTAGGGACTCAAGCCAGTGAGGGGCCCTGTTCGCCGTGGTGTCCACCCACTGTAGGGGCTTTCACCAGGCAACTGGGGATCACTCAAGCAATGGCACCCCTGCAGGGACTCTGGGTCTGTGTGGCCAGACCTCCCATGCCCAAAATGCCTAGGAGCGGCGCTGGGGCACACAAGTCCTTAGTCACCTATGCAGACAGGTGCACGGGAGCACCAGACCCACGTGACCAAGTGCACATGCCGAGATCTAGGAATGCGCAAAGACATACACACACGTCCACACACGTCAAGGCGGACACACATACTCACACACGTGCACCCAAGTGAACACATGATGTAACCACACCCGCCCCACACACGCCATCTCACGCACATCCATCTGTACACACATGCACACAGCCTAATGCGTACCCGTGTGAACACATGCGTATGCATACAGGTGCACGGATACACGAATACCTACATACACGCCTCACACGTGCCAATTCGTGGATGCATGTGTTCACACATGTGCACACAGCACCCATAGTTACGCACACATACACAACACGCACCCACGTGTGTATGCATGGATGTGTAAGTGCACAGATAACCACAGACCCCACATGCTGACTCATATACGCTTACACATATGTGCACATAGTCATCCAGAGGTCCACATACATGCACATATGCATGCATACACATACACAGGTGTGCTGTATCAATGCACAAATCACCACATGCTCGTCCCACACAAGCCGACTCTCACTCTAAGTATTCACATACAAGTATGCACAGTCATCCAAAGGCACACATGTATGCTCACCCATGTGTATCCAACACACACAGCACACATGCATCCATCCGTATATGCACATGTGTACCCACAGGCACACAAACCACACACGCATCCATATGCGGCTCTCCTCTAGGGCAGAGAAATAGCCCAGACACTGACCACTCCCTCGCCTCTCCCCTGCCTGGAAGCCCCATCCTAGCCCCTTCTCTGCCACACTGGCCTCCTCATCTGCAGACTGCAGGCAGCACCTACTCACCCAAGAAGCCCCGAGCCCCTAGTCCTGCACTCAAGCTCCTCCGCTGGCTGCAGCAGTGCCTCAGGGCAGCGGCCTACCCTGAGTTTCAGCTTCCTCATCTTCAAACAGAGCCCCATGCCCATGAGCCCTGCGCAGAGCCCTCCCAGGGTGTGTGACGAGCAGGAACAGTGGCAGGTCAAAGGACACATGCAGCAGCCCCGCAGGGCTGAAACGGACAATCTGAAAGAACCCCTGGACCCTAGGGGCAGTTTTGATGACCAGGTGGCTGGGCATGGAGCCCAGAGGTGGGGGCCTGGCACAGGATGCTGGGGCCACAGGATGGGGTCTGAAGCACTGCTCTGAAAATCTTGAATCGGGGGTCTGATGCTGGGCCCGACAGACAAGCACGAGGAGTGCCAACCCCCCCAAAAGGCTCTCCTGAATGCTTCACGTTCACGGTGACTGTGGATGGTATTATTCGTCTTTGCCCTGCTCCGTCCCGATCACACGTGCACACACTGAGTCCTAATCACATCATAGAAACACCTTCCTTTTAAGATGCTTAAACTCGAAGACAAGGACCCGAGTTTTCTGCTGATTTCCGCATTACTCAGCAACTGGGGTTGCTGCTTCCATCAATCCTGCCTCCTCCTCACCTTGTGAGTAAGCCGTAGACATCTCCATTGGAAGCAGCCTTCTGCCTTTCCCCAGTCAACCTAGCTCAAGGCCCATCTCCCCTGTGAAGCCCACTCTGCCGGTTCTGTCCTGAATTCCTGCAGTACCAGCAACCTGCGCTGCACAAATGCCCCTTCTGCACCCACACGTTGCTAGTGCTGCCTGTGTGTGTGTCCTGTCCAGATCCCAAGTGTGTGCTTTGTCCCGGAACCAACAGGCTCCTACCTCATGCCCACCACCTTTGAAGATCAAAGGAGACGCCAGTCCCGTCTCTGGGACTTGGCCTGTGCCATGTCCCTCACCCGAATGCCCTCCTTCCAGCCCACCCGCTGCCTCCAAGAAGCCCTTCCCAGCGCTCACTTCCAGGTCATGCTTCTGCCCTCCTGGACCCAGGCCACCCCGTCTGCTCCTGCTCTCAGGCCGCAGCCACCCTGCCGGCTGCCCTGCCATCTGTGCACACCTGCCCGGCCCCGGCCCCCGCCCACGCAGGCAGCTCCCGCGAGGCAGGGAGGTGGGAAAAGCCTTGCTCAGCGGGTGCCTCACCAATGTGCTCTGAATGGATAATGAGCCAGACTCCAGCACTCAGAACTGCCAGGCGGGCCCTGCCCGGCGGGGAAGCTGCATTTTCCGGCTGGCTCGGCATTTAGAGACAGACCCTTGTCCTCCATCTCTCCAGGAACCAGCAGGGAAGGAAGGCAGATTAAAATTTAATCCTACTGATCCCCCAAGAGGCGGTAAGTCCAGGCTGCTCCTGCCAAAGGCGGCTGGGGGCCTCCCGCACACCAGGCTGCAGGCTTTGGAGGCTCAGAGGCTCAGCCCAGATGGAGGGTCCCCACCAGCCCCCACGGCCCCAAACCAGAGGCCTCTTCCACGGGCCAGAGCTGGCCACTCGCCTCCATCTCCCCTCCCCTTCTGCCACCTGAACATTTGCACAATTATTTAACGTGCATCTGCTGTGTGGTGAGCACCGTTTTAGGTGCTGGAGATACCACTGGAAATAAAAGTGGGCAGGAATAAAATCCCTGCCCTCACGGAGTTTCCATTCATAATAAACAGAATAAATAAGTAAACTAGAAATCACGTACCATGAGGACAAGGCTAAGGAGAATCAGGAGCCACAAAGGAGGAAAATGGGTGTAATCCTGAAAACCCTTTTTCGTGAGAAAAGGGTTTTCAGTATTAAGTAGAGGGTTGAAACAGGTCTTGCTGAGAAGGAGCCACTTGAGCAAAGATGGAAGTGACAGTATGAGCCCTGCAAGGAGAGGAGTACCAGGTAGAGGCCAAGGCACTGCAGCAATGTGCTCAGCCACTGACTTGGCCTCCACAGCTGCTGAAGAGAACCGTGCCTGCTCTCCACCAAGGATCAGAGACGGCAGGCAGAGGTGACACTCTCAGAAGCCCTGTCCATGTCCCCTCCACTTCGGGCTCCTGGAGCAACCTCAATCTTGGCTCCGAGTCCCAGGCTCAAAGCTCACTTGCTCTGCAGTCTCAGGGAGGTCTCCTTCCCTCTCTGAGCTTTGGTTTCTTGATGAGCAAAATGGAGAGAATAATAGTAGTTCTACTAAATGCAAATACTGTTCTATTAAATGTACAAGGTAAACAATCACAAGAAGAAATGAGAGCTACGATAATGACAATTAATAGCATCAGCTGGCATTTCTTTGGTGCCAGGCACTGTCTGTCCTAAGGGCACTAGGAAATCAGCCCCTTTAATCCCCACACCAACTATACTAGGTGATGCCATCGTTGTCATTGTTTTAAAGCTGTGAAGCGTGAGGCACAGGGAGGTTTAAGTAAAACATTCCAGGGTCACAGAGCCAGGAAGTGGGAGAAATGGGATTTGAACCCAAGATGACTGGCTGAAGGATGTGTGGCCCCTGGGCTCTCTTACGACTGTTACTAGCGGTACTTGAGGTGAGGGGCCACGGTGTGGGAGAGTGACCCAGGCACACAGTTCCCAGGCCCCAAACAGGCTTGTCTCATTCTGCATGACATTGCTGTTTCTAGAGGTGGAGGCGTAGCCAAACTGGTTGATCAAGTAGTTCCCTGTCTGAGGCTGCTACTGCAGGCACCCACCAGACTCCAGAGACCTCCCCACCCCCACCTCAACTCTGAGCACTGATTGGCCAAGGAAGATATTACGGAAGAGGCAGCTGGGAAGGGTGGCTGGGGCTACAGGCAGGAGGGGAACCAGAGAAGCCAAGGCCGGGAGAGGAGTTTCCGCATCTGTCACACTTCACAAGGACCAGTCCCTCTCTGGGCCTCAGTTTCCTCATCCAGAAAATAAGGGAGGGGATCAACATCCACAGATCCTGAGTACATTTAGAAAAAGTCGATTGTAAATCATCAAAGCCCAGCTAGTAGTGGCTTGCCTGGGACGATGGGGAGCTTACCACCTCACCAGACACAAGGTTCCACGTTCGGGGTGCACAGACCCTTACGGTCCAGCCCCTGGAGACACGGCTCTGGGTACCCCAAGCCCCTCCACCAAGACCAGACCCCCTATAGCTGCCCCCAGTGGGATCTCCATGGGCCTCCACAGCCTGCTACAGACTCTGTGTTTCAATCATCTCAAAGGCCCCTTCGAGGGCCCAGTGTCAGTGGAAGCTGGTGCTGAGAACTCAGGCCCTGCGGTCTGACAGCCCACAGGTTCAAATCCAGGTCCAATGCTTCCTAGCTGTGTGACTCTAGACAAGTCACTTAACCTCTCTGGGCCTCAGGAAAATGGAAACGACGTCGGCACGTGCCGTTCCAGGACTGACGGTAGGAGCTGCTCCATGAAAGCTCACTGCTGTGGTCATAACGTCATTATCTTTTGTCTTAAAGGGATTTCTTCTGCACAAGTGCCTGAAGTGGCAGCCCCTTACCCTGGGCCATCAGCTGGACCCTGGTGCTATCCTGGAGCCCAAAGCCTCCGTTTTGTGTTGCATCCCGCTGGCTAGCCACGGTTCACACCCATCTGCGCGTCTGAGCAGAACAGCCCAGAGGCCACACCAGGATGGCTTTCCACCAGTCACCTTCCCCCACCCACTCATAAACCCTGCATCTCTGGGGGAGAGGGTGGCGAGGTCCCCTCCCCATTTTGCAGATGGGAACACTGAGGCCCTATTCATGGTGCCCCCTGTGAAGCACCTCATGGCCAACACCAGGGAGCAGCAGGCAGGGGCGGGGACGCATACCCGGTTCTCGTCGTAGATGATCTGCACCAGGCTGCGGTGCTTCGACTCGATGGGCGGCGGTGACACGGGCTTCTCAGGCTCGGGCGGCTTGGCAGCCTCCTCCTCCAGCTGTTGCTGTGGGAAGAGGCAGAGCGTGAGGGGTGAGCACCCCGGCGGGCGGAAGGAGGGCTGCAGCTCCCAGGGCCTGGGGAGGCCCCCTTGCAGCCCGGGCCGCGGCCGCGCACAGGAAGTCAGGCTGCTACCCATTTCCTGTGAGTCACCCCAGGGACTCCGTACCCGGGAGAGGCCCCAGCTCCCGGGCCAGCTGCAACCTCCAAGCTCCGAAGCCAGGTTCAAATCCTGCCTTCGTGACTTGCCAGCTAGGGAAGCACAGCCGAGCAGCCTCACCCCGCTAGGCCTCAGTTTCCCCCTCTGTAAACAGGGCTGATTGCCGTGCCGCCATTCTGACCATGGTGAGAACTCAATGAGTTACACAGGCAGGTGCAGCCAGGCCTGCTATGAGCCAGCATTACTACCCGTTACGGTTCCTACAGGCAGCATCAGTGCTAGGGGAAGCTGCGCAGACTCCGCAGCTGCACTGGCTAGACCAGAGCCAGTCCTACTGGCTCCCACTCCTACTTACTGCTAGCCTTGAGAAGCTCCTGGACCTCTCTGAGCCTTCCCTTCCTCTTCTGGAAAATGGGGATAAAAGTTACTACCCTAGGAGGCCGGTGTGAGGGGCCGGTGTGAGGGTGAAATGAGCTGATGATATGTGCAAAGCACTTGGCACCTGACACACAGGCAGCACTCCACCCACAGAGCTCCTCATCACCCTCATCATCCTCATCCTCATCACCCTCATCATCCTCATCTTTATCATCCCATCATCCTCATCCTCATCATCCTCATCCTCATCACCCCCATCGTCATCATCCTCATCCTCATCACCCTCATCATCCTCATCCCCCCATCATCCTCATCCTCATCACCCTCATCATCCTCATCTTTATAACCCCACCATCCTCATTCTCATCACCCTCATCATCCTCATCCCCCTCATCCTCATCCTCATCCCCCCATCATCCTCATCCTCATCATCTTCATCATCCTCATCACCCCCATCGTCATCATCCTCATCCTCATCACCCCCATCATCCTCATCCCCCCATCATCCTCATCCTCATCACCCCCATCATCCTCATCCTCATCACTCCATCATCTTCATCCTCATCACCCCCATCATCCTAATCCTCATCACCCCCATCATCCTAATCCTCATCACCCCATCATCGTCATCCTCATCACCCCCATCATCGTCATCATCATCCTCATCCTCATCACCCTCATCATCGTCATCATCACCCCATCATCCTCATCCTCATCACCCCCATCATCCTCATCATCCTCATCATCCTCATGCTCATAACCCTCATCATCCTCATTCTCATCACCCTCATCATCCTCATCCTCATCACCCCCATCATCATCATCCTCATCATCCTCTTCCTCATCACCTCATCATCCTCATCATCCTCATCATCCTCATGCTCATAACCCTCATCATCCTCATTCTCATCACCCTCATCATCCTCATCCTCATCACCCCCATCATCATCATCCTCATCATCCTCTTCCTCATCACCTCATCATCCTCACCACTCTCATCATCCTCATCCTCATCACCCCCATCACCCTTATCCTCATCACCCCCATCATCCTCATCACTCTCATCATCCTCATCCTCATCACCCCCATTACCCTCATCCTCATCACCCCCATCATCCTCATCCTCATCACCCCCATCATCCTCATCCTCATCTGTCCATGTACCAAACACCCTCCTCCTAACACCATTGGAAAGAGCATCCCATCATGCTGCCATCTGCTTCATAGCAAGAGGGAGGCTGAAGACCAGAGGGTTTAGGGCACTGGCCCAAGGTCAGATGGGAAGCCAATGCCCCATTCTGCAGTGTGACAGGGCATCACAAGTGAGATCAGAACATGGTTCTGCTCCACTTATGATGCTCACACAGCCTGCACATGACCACAGAGCAGCTCAGTATGAACCCAAAAAGGTGCCCAAGAAGAAGTGAACACAAAAAGAGCCAGAAAATCCAGGGTGCTGGCTTCTGCAGGCGATGGTGCTGGCAGCTTGAGCAGAACTGCCTCAGTCCCACAGCAACCCCTGGTGGTCGCTTCAAGAAGGACATCGAAATACTCCCCCAAAGCATTGAACAAACAAAACCAAGAAGGGGAAGAAGTCCACAGTCGGGAAAGGGTGGGTGGGAGGGAGGCTCCCCCCAGCCAGGGAAGGTGGCCCTTCCTCAGGTACTAGCGAAAATACTACCTGGGACACCTACAGAGATCCAGCTAAGAGGGTGACTCAGCTCTGTTGGGCCTGGATTCAAGCCTGAGCCCCACACTCACCAGCTCTGCAGCCTCAGCCAGGGCACTTCACCTCCCTGACCTCAGTGTCTACTTCAGCAGAACCTGCGAGTACATGCCTACCTCATAAGGTTGTCTGGAAGATCAAGGAGATAATGCTGAAAAAACTGCTGCACAGCAGTGACACGCTAAAAAGGGCTGTCTAATGCAAGTCAAAACCACAACGAGATACCGCTGTACAACCACTAGGATGGCTGGAATCAAAAACATTTTTTTATTTTTTTATTTTTTATTTTTGAGACGGAGTCTCACTCTGTCACCCAGGCTGGAGTGCAGTGGTGCGATCTCGGCTTACTGCAAGCTCCGCCTCCCAGGTTCACACCATTCTCCTGCCTCAGCCTCCTGAGTAGCTGGGACTACGGGCGCCCACCACCACGCCTGGCTAATTTTTTTGTATTTTTAGTAGAGACGAGGTTTCACTATGTTAGCCAGGATGGTCTTTAACTCCTGACCTCGTGATCCGCCTGCCTGGCCTCCCAAAGTACTGGGATTACAGGCGTGAGCCACCGCATCCGACCAAAAACATTTTTAAAGGAAGATAAAAAAGGGTTGGTGTGGCTAGGGACAGTGGCTCACACCTGAAATCTCAGCACTTTGAGAGGCCAAGGTGGGCAGATCACTCAAGACCAGCAGTTGGAGACCAGCTTGGGCAACATAGTGAAACCCCATCTCTATAAAAAGATACAAAAATTAGCCGGGTGTGGTGGTGCACGCCTGTACTTCCAGCTACTCAGGAGGCTGAGGTAGAAGGACTGCTTGAGCCCAGGAGGTAGAGGCTCCAGTGAGCAAAGATGGCACCACTGGACTCCAGCCTGGGCAACAGAGTGAGATTCCATCTCAAAATTTTAAAAAAAGGTGGGGGGAGGGTTGATGAGGATGTGGAAAACCTGGAACCTTCATGCATTGCTGGTAAGAATGTAAAATGGGGCAGTTGATGTGGAAAACAGCCTGGAAAGTCATCAGCAAATTAAACCTAGAATTACTGTGCAAACCTGCAATTCCGCTCCTAGGTATATACCCATGAGAACTGAAAACAGGTGTCCCAACACAACTTGAACAGCAGCACTATTCACAACAGCCACAGCCCAAATGGCCACAGATGATGAAATAAACAAAAGGTGCCATCTCCACACAATGGAGTATGATTCAGCCATAAAAAGGAATGAAGGAATGAGACAAGAGACAACATGATAAACCCAAAACCATGACGCTAGGTAGAAGAAGCCAGACGCAAAAGGACGCATACTGTGTGATGCCATATATCGGAACTGTCTAGAACAGGTCAGTCCACAGAGACAGAGAGTAGGGGAACAGGGAGTGGTTGCTTTAGCTCTTATGAGGCTTCCCTGTGGGTTGTTGAAATGGCTGGGAACCAGATACAGGTGACAGCTGCACAACACTGCAAATGTAAGAAATGCCACTGAATTGTGCACTTTAAAATGATTATGCTTGAGAATTTCACTTTTAAAAAATGCCAACGTGGAATTTAGAGGGAAACAAACAAAGAAACAAATAAAAACCTAACCACTGAGAGCTGCCTCGAGCCACCTGGCTTCCAGCCGCAGTCACCAATATGTGCCAGTGCCTGCAGCTTCAGCCCCACCCCAGGGCCAGGCCTCCCCCTAAAGGTGTGGTACCAGGCTGGCCCTGGCAATGCCTGCCCATCCCCACCAGGGCCCGGCCCCTCTCGGGATGGTTATGCCACCATCATGAGACCTACCTACTGCCTGCTGAAGCCTGGGACAGTTGGCAGAGTCTCCAGGACCGGGCCTCACTGTTGGACTATCCTCAAATCCTGGTTCCCCCAACCATGTGACAGCCATGGTGATGGCCCCTTGAAATCAACGCTCTCTCCCTGAAGCGTCCTTCAAAACCCAGCTACCAGGGCACCTCTTCCTGGAAGCCTTCTCTCACCAGCCTTCACCCCCTGCCTACAGTGGCTGGAATGAGCCCTTGATCCTCCTTGGAGCCCCTACTTCCTTGTCTGGAGGGCACTAGATGTGAGCCTGTTTCCCCCATTAGTCTAGACGCTCCCTGGGGCCCAGACAGTGACACAATGACTGAATCAACCATTTTTAATGAGCACCTACCATGTACCCCATGCTGCTCAGAACACTGCAGTTAACAGGGAGACAAGGAGAGGACCACTGTATAACAACGCTGGGTCTACATTAATTCAAATAATGACGCCACCAGCGGGGTGATGAGACAGATCAGCGCTCAGCAGCATTTCTTTTTGTTAAGATAGGTTCTCATTCTGTTGCCCAGGCAAGAGTGCAGTGGCAATCATGGCTCATGTAGCCTAAACTTCCCGGGCTCAGGCACTCCTGCCTCAGCCTCCTACGTAGCTGTGACCACAGGCATGTGCCACCACACCTGGCTAATGTTTTAAATTATTTATAGAGACAGGGTCTTGCTATGTTGCCCATGCTGGTCTCAAACTCCCAGGCTCAAGTGATCCTCCAGCCTCAGCCTCCCAAAGTGCTGGGATTACAGGCATCGGCCACCATGCCTGGCCCAAAGCTTTCCTTTAAAGGCCTAAATAGCAAATATTTTTGACTTTGCAGGCCACACAGGTCTCTGTTGTGATGACTTAACTCTGCCACTGTGGCAGAAAAGCAGTCATACAGACACACATGTGTATAGAGATACACAGACAAGTGGCCATGGCTGTGCCAATAAAACTTTATTTACAAAAAGCAGCAGCTAGAATTAGCTGGATTGGCTGAACCCGGGATAGAGGAGGGTTGGGGGTGCATGTTCTTGTACAAGGTGGAGGGTGGCCTCTTGGTGTCAGGGACATCTGAGCAGAGACCTGAATGATACCAGGGAGCAAACCATGAAGAGCTGGGAAAAGGCAGATTATCAAGGAATTGTATATTAACTCATATTTAAAACAAAATTATAAAATGAATGTTATAAATATTTACATCAGCTTTTTCTCTGCATGTCTTTGTGTGGTTTCAACAGTGATGATGAGGATTTATTTTTAATCTCGGGATCTTGCTCCCTCCTCTACAAGTTGTCCATTTTACAGGCAAGGAAACCAAGCCTCCAAGAGATGAAGGTTCCAGGGCCACATAGCTAGTAAAGAGCAGTTAGGAGGCCAGTCCGTTCAGATTCCAGAGCCAAGGGCTGTTTCCCCACATTACAGATAAGGAAAGTGAAGCACAGAGAAGGGACTGCCCACCTCACATTGCCTGGTACTGGAAGAAACAGGATCTGAACCTGGACAGACTGGCTAAACATCCTGAACTTTCACCCACCATTCTTGTGCTGTCTAATGCGGCAGCTTGTGTGGCTATTCAAAGGCACATTTCATATGCATATTAAACAAAAATTAAAAATCAGTTCCTCAGTTGCAGTAGGCACATTTCAAATGCTCAGTAGTGGAACGTGGCTATCCTGCAGATACACAGTGTTTCCATCATGGCAGAAAGTTCTGCGGATGGTGCTCCTGTCCAATGAATGTAAAGGGCATAAAAACCAGTGAGCACCCAGGAACTTGGGAAGGGCTTGGCACATGTCTGTGACACTGCAGTCACTGCTGCTAGAATGGAGACTCAGAGCCAATACTCCCCATCCCCCTGCCCGTTCACACCTGCTTCTTCTTCAGTTTAGAGATCTGCTGCTCCACCATGGTGATCTCTCGGTCCACGCGGTCCATGTTCTGGATCAGCTCCTCCTTGGACAGCCTCGGAGGCACCAGCTCCAGCTCAGGGTCGGTGTGCGGGGGGCTGGGGGGAGACACTGGTTCCAGCTTGCCCGTCAGGCTACGGTCCTGTGGCAGAAAAAAAACAGGCATAGGGTCAGCACGGGGGACACCCCCAGTCTGTACAACCCTGTGATGGTTAACACTGTCAACCTGATTGGATTGAAGGAGGCAAAGTATTGACCCTGGGTGTGTCTGTAAGGGTATTGCCAAAGGAGATGAACATTTAAGTCGGTGGGCTGGGGAAGGCAGACCCACCCTTAATCTGTGTAGGCACCATCCAATCAGTTGCCAGCGAGTATAAAACAGACAGAAAAATGTGAAAAGGCAAGACAGGCCTAGCCTCCCAGCCTACATCTTTCTCCCACGCTGGATGCTTCCTGCCCTCGAATATCACACTCCAAGTTCTTCAGCTTTGGGACTCAGACTGGCTTCCTTGCTCCTCAGCTTACAGATGGCCTATTGTGGAATTGTGTGAGTTAATACTCCTTAATAAACTCCCCTTTATGTAATATATGTATATTACATATTTTCTATTAGTTCTGTCGCTCTAGAGAACCCTAATGTAGTTGCCAACTTTTTGCCTGCTGCCATCCATGTAAAATGTGACTTGCTCCTCCTTGCCCTCTGCCATGATTGTGAGCCCTCCATGGCCACATGGAACTGTGAGTCCAATTAAACCTCTTTATTTTTTAAATTGCCCAGTCTTGGGTATGTCTTTATCAGCAGCATGAAAACAGACTAATGCATAACCCCTCGCCAATACACCCCTAGTTTCCATCCCTGAGTCCAGGCCCAGAGTACTGGACATCTGTCAGGACAGTCCTCACCTGTTCAAGGATCCCATCCCCATCCCAGCCATCACCCATTCTCCAAAATTCAGAGTCCCTTACAGCCTTCAAGGTGCAGTTCAAATGCTCTTGCTACATGAATGGTTTCTCAGCCTCTCCTCAAGTTGTGAAGTCTTCCAGCTCCCTGTTCCCATAACACACCTCCCTTCTTCCACTTACCCCATCTGTGTGTTCCCCACCAGCTCAAGGAACCAAGACCCACAGCCTCCATCCTCCCAGGGCCTGGCCTCTGCAGACCTCTGTAAACATTCTCTCATGAAGTTCAGTCCAAACACGCAAGTTCCAGAACCATGCAGCCAACACACACGTGGCTTTGCAGAAAACACATATTCCCGAACACACAGAAAAGCCACCAGAACGGGCTACAGAGAAGCTAAAAGGAGTTATCTCGGCAGCAGGGCAGAAGAGGGTATTTTTACTTTCTTCTTCTTATTTGCCCGTATTTTTTCTGATTTTCTTTCACCGAGAGTTACTCTTCATGTAATACAGTCGTTTTTGAAAATGTGCTTAACGACAAAGGAAGCCTGGATTCAGTTATCCATGGATGCCTTCATCCCACCAGCTAAAGTCTGGTGCACCCAGGCTGTGCTAGGAACGCTCTCAGGATAAGGAGGTTAGAAAAAACAACCCAGGCCTCCCCTGTGCAGCCCTGGGTTCACATCCCAGCCCCCTCTGCCACTCTCCAGTTCCGTGACCTCCAGCAGATCATTCAACTGCTTCCTGTCTCAGTTCTTCATCTGTTCAATGGGGAGAACAGTTCGCACCTCCACCTCCCCGGTCCTTGTGAGTCTTGAATGAGTTAATGGCTTTGAGCCTGTCATACTATAAGCCTCAATAAATGTTGGCTGGGATGGTCCTCCCCTAGCTGGGCTCCAGAACCCAGCCCCCGCCCTGTGCCATCCTTGGGGCCAAGCCGGCAGCTGCTGGCAGACAAGGCCCAGAGCAGAGCCAGGCCACCGCCTCCCCACCCCCACGGCAGCTGTACCCAGAGGACACAGGGTGCATTATTCCCCAGACAACTGCAGCCGGGGGGCCCCGAGTGCCCCCCCCAACCTCGGGACTCACAGAGGCTGCATCATCTTCTGTCCACTCCTGCCATCCTCAGGGCCTCTGTCCTCCCCTCAACCCACAGAGTCCCAGCAAGACCCATAGGGGCCAAGAGTCTTGGAGTCATATTAGGTTTGCCTCCAGCCTCTGTTACCATCTGAGATGTGGGGGCAAGCACAGCAGCAGCCTGGACAACCCAGTGCTCCCTCCACACACACAGACTCCTCGAGGGAAATAGAGAAAAGGGCCTTCATCCCTCAATCGCCCCAATGCGGTCCTCCATGCTCCTCAGGCCACCTCCCCAAGGGATACCCTAGAAATCACACCTGGGGCCGCTCACGGCTCAGCCCATCCCAGTCCTCTGCACACGCCATGAAGTAGACCCCACAACAGTCCTCCGAGGGGATTGCTGTTCCATCTCCATTACCAGAGGAGGAAACAGAGCCTGGAGGCCACTGGGACTGGATGCCAGAGGCCGGAACTTTCCTATAAAGGGCCAGATGGTAAAAATAGCTCAAGCTTTCAGGGCCACAAGGTCTCTGTCTCACCTACTCACCCCTGCCATTGTATTGCAAAAGCAGCCACAGGCGATGGGGAACAAGTGGGCGTGGCTATGTGCCAATAAAACTTTATTTACAAAAACATGCTGAGGGCCAGATTTGGAGCTTGCTGGAGTTTGCTGGCCTCCTGCTCTAAGCAATTCACAAGTCTTAATCCACGTAACTGTCATAACCACCGTGGGAAGTGGGATTACAGTTTGACGACGTGCCCAAGGCCACTCAGTGTCCTCCCTTGGAAGCTGCTTGAAAGGGGAGGCTACAGGGGCTTCCATGTCAGAAATGGCCACACATCTGTTCACCCCACAGAACCATGGGGCTGAGCATAAGCGCCAAAGCAGCATCCCTTCCAGGGTCCCAGAGTGCAGGACCTCCAGAAATTCAAGGCAAAAATGTGTGTGGAAGAAAAACTCCCTAGAAAAAGCCTCAGGAGTGTGTATGCATGTACCAGTGGGTGCGGGGCCCTCACTGCTCCCCAACAGGAGGGCAGGCAGGGGGCCATGGGCACCTGACCCCACCCACAGCAAACCGTGCACAGCTCATGCGTCTGGCACTCCCGAGCCTTTGCACAGGCTGGCTCCGCTGCCCAGAGTGCCCAACACCCCTTCTGTGCCAACTGACATCAGACCCGCGTCCCCACACCACTGCCCAGCCCCTCACTGCAGTCCACCTTGGGTGTTTGGCTGGTCTCTCCCTGCAGCCCAAGTCATGTCTTGAGGTTCTTAAGACAAAAGGTAGCAGCAAACATGGCACCCAGAACCCGGTCACACTACTGGTGGCAAGAAACATCTCTGCTATCCTATCTCTGCTCTTCTACCTGGACCAAGAAGAGACATAACAGAGCAAGAAGAAGGATGTGGAAGGAAGGGCTCTGGGGGCCAGGCCACCCTAAAACTGTGAGAGCAAACTGCTCATCCAACCTGGGAATAATTCTCCAAAGCAACATTAACAAAAAGAAGGTTTCCATCCCCAGGGCTAACAGGCAGCACCAGGAGTAGAAACAGCAACTGGCAACCATTAGCAGTTGCTAGAAACTTACTTCCTTTAAACTCTCCATGGATAAAAGCTGTTGTCTTTAATGGGTTCTTCTTTAAGTTCGGGTTTAGCTTTTATTCGCAGCAAAATTGCACAAGTAAGTCCATCACCTGATGAACAGATAAATAAAACATGGCATATCCATACAATGCAATGTGAAGGGCCGGACATGGAGGTAGAGACAGGAGGATCACTTGTGCCCGGGAGTTCAAGACCAGCCTGGGCAACATAGCAAGACTCCATCTTTATTTTAAAAAAAAAAAAAAAAGGAATGAAACACTGACCCAGGCTACACTGTGGATGAACCCCAAGAATATGATGCTGAGTGAAAGTGGTCAGACATAAAAGGCTGCAGAGTGTATGATTCCACTTACATGAAATGTCCAGAACAGGCAAATTCATAGAGATGGACAGTGATTTGTGGTTGCCCGGAAAAAGGAGGAGGGGAAAGTGGGGGGTGATATGGTTTGGCCATGTCCCCACCCAAATCTCATCTTAAATTGTAGTTCCCGTAATTCCCACATGTTGTGGGAGGGACCAAGTGGAGCAATCATGGGGCAGTTTCTCCCATCCTGTTCTCGTGATAGTGAGTGAGTTCTCATGAGAGCTGATGGTTTATAAGGGGCTTTCCCCACTTTTGCTCCGCACTTCTTGCTGTGGCCATGTGAAGAAGGACGTGTTTGCTTCCCCTTCCACCGTGACTGTAAGCTTCCTGAGGCCTCTCCAGCCAGGCTGAACTGTGAGTCAATTACACCTCTTTCTATTCTAAGTTATCCAGTCTTGGGTATGGCCTAATTAGCAGTGTAAGAACAGACTAACACAGGGAGTGGCAGTGTAAGAACAGACTAATACAGGGAGTGACTGATTAATGAGTATGGGGGTCTCCTTCTGGGGTGAAGAGAATGTTCTAGAACTAGACAGGTGACAGCTGCACAACACAACACTGTAAATGTCCTACAAGCCAATGAGCTCTTCACTTTAATGTGGTTACTTTTTTGTGAACCGCCCCTCAATTGAAAAAGAAGAGGCAAACCCAGATTGCCAAGAGCGCTTCCCCCGGTGCTGGGTTTCCCAGGATGGGGGCTGAGGAAGCCTGGCGGTCAGGCCTGCAGGTGCACTCCCGATGACTGTCCACCTTTCCCACCCACCCAAACCCGCGGGGAGCAAAACAAACTAACACAGCCCGCACAAGTTGCCAGGGAGCAGTGGGTACCTTCTACTCATAAGATGCCCCTGCTGTAAAACTTCAAGCTAGTGTGAAAGAGAAAAGTGTATAGCATAAGTGAAGACACAGAGGCAGAAAAGGCCCCCGGCTCCCCTGTGCCAGCTCCAGAAAAAAGCAGGGCCCAGCTTCACGCACTCCTAGTACACCCCCTACTCCAGCCACAGTGACAGGTTCTGGGACAGGCATGGGCCCACTCATGGTGAGGAGAAAAAGCAGTTTGGGGCTAGAAATGTGGAGAGAAGGAGGGAGAGTTCTCTCTTTTTGCTGGCCTTGAACCTGGGAGAAGGAAGGCCTGGAGTCGCCAGCTTCCTTCCTGCTAACACACCAAGACCCTGTGAAAGATGGCAGGGTCCT